GAAAAGCCATGCAACCTCTGAAGAGACAACTAACACAACACCTATACCCCCTATTAGACTATTTTACAGGAACTTCTTTTCCACAGCTCATAAAACGGAGGAAAGGGTCCTGAAAGATATTGTTAATAGAAACGTTATCCCTACAGACAAAAATCAGAGGATACAACTGACGATTTACTATAAAACCAGAAAAACGGCCAGCCTACTCATGAGAAACTCTCCAGACACAAAACAGAACGCTTTAAAAGAGACTAATGTCGTCTATGCCTTCAAATGCCCACTTGGGGACTGTAAGCTCCAAAAAACCCAGTATATAGGCAAGACAACAACATCTCTTTCTAGGCGTTTAACGATGCATAAGCAACAGGGCTCCATTAAGGAACATATAATCTCTTCCCATAACCAAACCATCGCCAGAGAAATCCTAGTAAACAACACAGAAATCATCGATAGATACAGCGATAGCAGGCGGCTTGACGTTTGCGAGGCACTACACATCAAGAAGTCAACACCAGCAATCAACAGCCAATTATTGCACAACTATATTCTACCCACCTCAAGACTCCGCTCCAATATAGAAGCATCAAGAAATATGGACCAATAGGCTTTCTACAAACACTTCTATTCAATACCCATTGTTTCTGTTCTGTCTTGTGTTGATACTTTTAATACCCTATTAATATCCCCTCCTGTTCTGTCTTGTGTTAATGCCACATCACCCTTCCCACCTCACTCAAATGTAGATATAAAATCAGAGATACGTTCTAATCAGTTGTGTATTTGTGAAGTCTTTGAAAATGTAATAAGTTTTACGAAACGCGCCCGTGTCGCGTCAGACTAGAAATAAAAATGAATTTTGGAGAAGTGATTTTTGATTTACCTCCAACAGTGAAGCGTAATGTACGAAAGATTGAGAAAATTCGTGTTAGAATTATTAATCTTACTTTTTCGGTCATATTTAATAATATATGTCTACAGGAAAGACTGCTACCAAAATATACTAATATATATATATATATATATATATATATATATATATGTCGTACCTAGTAGCCAGAACTCACTTCTCAGCCTACTATGGAAGGCCCGATTTGCCTAATAAGCCAAGTTTTCATGAATTAATGTTTTTTCGTCGACCTAACCTACCTAACCTAACCTAACCTAGCTTTTTTTGGCTACCTAACCTAACCTTACCTATATATATAGGTTAGGTTAGGTTAGGTAGGGTTGGTTAGGTTCGGTCATATATCTACGTTAATTTTAACTCCAATAAAAAAAATTGACCTCATACATAATGAAATGGGTAGCTTTATCATTTCATAAGATAAAAATTAGAGAAAATATAGTGATTCAGGAAAACTTGGCTTATTAGGCAAATCGGGCCTTGCATAGTAGGCTGAGAAGTGCGTTCTGGCTACTAGGTACGACATATATATATATATATGTATATATATATATGTCGTACCTAATAGCCAGAACGCACTTCTCAGCCTACTATGCAAGGCCCGATTTGCCTAATAAGCCAAGTTTTCATGAATTAATTGTTTTTCGTCTACCTAACCTACCTAACCTAACCTAACGTTTTCGGCTACCTAACCTAACCTAACCTATAAAGATAGGTTAGGTTAGGTTAGGTAGTGTTGGTTAGGTTCGGTCATATATCTACGTTAATTTTAACTCCAATAAAAAAAAATTTCCCTCATACATAATGAAATGGGTAGCTTTATCATTTCATAAGAAAAAAATTAGAGAAAATATATTAATTCAGGAAAACTCGGCTTATTAGGCAAATCGGGCCTTGAATAGTAAGCTGAGAAGTGCGTTCTGGCTACTAGGTACGACATATATATATATATATATATATATATATATATATATATATATATATATATATATATATATATATATGCGAACAAGCCTGAATGGTCCCCAGGACTATATGCGAATGAAAAACTCACACCCCAGAAGTGACTCGAACCCATACTCCCAGAAGCAACGCAACTGGTAACTACAGGGCGCCTTAATCCGCTTGACCATCACGGCCGTCAAAAGGAAGTGATAGTCGAGGCTATTTGAGCCACTTCCCCGACGGCAACTTGGATGGTAATCTTGGGCATAGCATTTCACCAAATCACCTCATTCTTTGGGGCACACGTGAGGAACACAAATGCGGACAAGCCTGAATGGTCCCCAGGACTATATGCGAATGAAAACTCACACCCCAGAAGTGACTCGAACCCATACTCCCAGAAGCAACGCAACTGGTAACTACAGGGCGCCTTAATCCGCTTGACCATCACGGCCGTCAAAAGGAAGTGATAGCCGAGGCTATTTGATTTGGTGAAATGCTATGCCCAAGATTACCATCCGAGTTGCCGTCGGGGAAGTGGCTCAAATAGCCTCGGCTATCACTTCCTTTTGACGGCCGTGATGGTCAAGCGGATTAAGGCGCCCTGTAGTTACCAGTTGCGTTGCTTCTGGGAGTATGGGTTCGAGTCACTTCTGGGGTGTGAGTTTTCATTCGCATATAGTCCTGGGGACCATTCAGGCTTGTTCGCATTTGTGTTCCTCACGTGTGCCCCAAAGAATGAGGTGATTTGGGGAAATGCTATGCCCAAGATTACCATCCGAGTTGCCGTCGGGGAAGTGGCTCAAATAGCCTCGGCTATCACTTCCTTTTGACGGCCGTGATGGTCAAGCGGATTAAGGCGCCCTGTAGTTACCAGTTGCGTTGCTTCTGGGAGTATGGGTTCGAGTCACTTCTGGGGTGTGAGTTTTCATTCGCATATAGTCCTGGGGACCATTCAGGCTTGTTCGCATTTGTGTTCCTCACGTGTGCCCCAAAGAATGAGGTGATTTGGTGAAATGCTATGCCCAAGATTACCATCCGAGTTGCCGTCGGGGAAGTGGCTCAAATAGCCTCGGCTATCACTTCCTTTTGACGGCCGTGATGGTCAAGCGGATTAAGGCGCCCTGTAGTTACCAGTTGCGTTGCTTCTGGGAGTATGGGTTCGAGTCACTTCTGGGGTGTGAGTTTTCATTCATATATATATATATATATATATATATATATATATATATATATATATATATATATATATATATATATATATATATATATACATATATATATAAAGTGTATATTTAGTATTATAACACAAAAATAAAATGTTGTATTATTCTATGTAAATAATATAGAAGCATCTTAGTAGCATTAATATATTTGAGCATTCCGATGTTCACACATTCCATTATAACAATTTCTCAAAAGGCACACTATTGAATAACATTATTGTAAAAAAGAAGAAAAAAATAACCAGAAACATTGAAATAAATATGTACAAATTATATTCGCGGCAACTCCAGGCTGGCTGGGGCATTCCGTTCTCAGACCAAGTTCATTCCATCCAGCGGTCGACCCCACAGACACATTCATAAATTTGAACATGCTGTTCATTCAAAACGGGAATTTTCTCAAATATTAATTAATATTATAATATATTATATTAATAATATATTAATAATTATATTAATAATCGCCAACAGAACCTAAACACCTAACCTAACCTATCCTATGCCTATATATACACAATATGCTAATATATTATAATATTAATTTATACTTGAGAAAATTCCCGTTTTGAGTGAACAGTATGTTAAAATTTATGAATGCGTCTGTGGGGTTGACCGCTGAATGTAATGGACTTGAGTCGATGACGGGTTGGAGTCGTGTGTAACAGCCCGTCCTTATAAACATAGCCATTGTCCACTCATTATATCATACAGGAAATTAGTTAGTGTTAGTGATACCGCTTTTTGCCATCCATAAAAACATATTGGTGGTGAGTTTCAAAGTGAGGGAGCGGGAGGGTGCCGGTCGGCCGAGCGGACAGCACACTGGGCTTGTGATCCTATGGTCCCGGGTACAATCCCGGGCGCCGGCGAGAAACAATGGGCAGAGATTCTTTCACCCTATGCCCCTGTTACCTAGCAGTAATATCGGTACCTGGGTGTTAGTCAGCTGTCACGGGCTGCTTCCTGGGGGTGGAGGCCTGGTCGAGAACCGGGCCGCGGGGACACTAAAAAAAGCCCCGAAATCATCTTTAGATATCTCAAGATAACAGATGTGCTATAAAGTTTTCCTCGCGTTCTTCTCCATCACCTTTCATGGTAGTCAAGTTAGGGTTACTGAACTGTAGTTCAGTTCCTCTTGCCTATCGCCCATTTTGTTTATTACGACTACATTAGCTGTCTTCCATATATCTGGCAGATCCTCTGTTTCCAGTGACTTATAATACACAATGCAAAGTGGCAAACAATGTCCTTCTGCCCACTCTATTAGCAACCATGGAGTGATATATCAGTTCCTACCGCCTGTTTCACGTCCAAGTTCATCAGATACATCCACTCTTCATCTCTGGCAATTAAAAACACTTCCAAAGCTTCTGGTTCGTTGCCAACTCTCTTAGTTCAGGAACATTTCCTTGTTCCACTGTGAAGGCCTCCGGGAATCTCTTGTTGAATTCATCACACACCTCTGTTATTCTGTGTGTACCTATCGTCACCTGTTCTTAGTTTCATCACTAGCACCAAACCTACAAGCTCTTTTTGAACACCCTATTCCCAGAGATTTCAGGATCAGGGAGTGGGTGGGAGTCCAGGGATAAGTGGGGTTTACGAAGTGGTTGGGAGTTAGGGTGTTGGTAGGGGGGCAGGGAGTTGTTGGGGGTCAGGAACAGGAAGGAAGAGAGTGGGTGGGGGTCAAGCAGAGGGAGAGGGTCAGGGAGTGAGTGGTGGTCAAGGAATGGGTGGGGGTCAGGGAGTGAGTGACAATCAGGAAGTGGGGGTGGGTTAGTGACTGGGGGGTGGGGGTTCAGGAAGTAGGAAGGGGGTCAGGAAGTGGGAGGGGTTCTGGAAGTGAGTGATGGTCAGGGTGTGGGGGGGGGGGATAGTGAGTGGACAGGGATCTGTCCACTCACTATCGACAATTGGTCGAGCAGGCGACGGACGGACGCCCAACGACGGACACATACAACGGACACGACGGACGCCAGAAGTGGTGCGACGGAAATTGCGAGAGTGGCATTTCCGGTATGTGCGGTGACGTCGAGATGGGGTGTCAGGGAAGATGATGTGAGCGGATCCGGTCACACCGAAGAGGACATGCCGGGTGACCTGGGGCTCGACCAATTGTTCCGAGAGGAGGCCAGAAGACAAGTGACAGGTGAGGAAGAGTCGGATAAGAGTATCCAAGTTACTCTCACCAGTCCTCTAGGTATTGACAATGCCCTTCTAGGTGAGTTGCAAAGGGAAGAGTTTTCGGAGTTGGTGCGGGAGGCGGAAGGAGGTCTCGCCGGACCCAAGTCACCAACTCACTTCTTCTTGAAGATGGGAGTGCTAATGAGGCAGTGGAGACCGCTAAGGGAACAAGTGGGTGATGGTGTGCTGAGAGTGAGGTGTCAGGTGGTGATGCTGGTGCAGTACAGATGCACGGTACTGGAGCTTGCAAACTCAGTTGGTCCCGTTGGTCACTTGGGAATGACCAAGACCTTAAACCGGCTTCAGGAACATTTTTATTGGCCGGGCATGGACGCGGATGTAAGGAGAATCTGCAAGACGTGTTTCCCGTGTCAGAGGGCGGGGAAGAACGTCCCTGCCATCCCAAAAGCACCTTTAGTTCCAGTCCCTGCGTTTGGCCAGGCGTTTGAACGCCTAATAATCGACGTGGTGGGACCATTACCTAAGACGAGAAGAGGAAATAATTACTTATTGACCATCATGTGTGCTTCGATGAGATTTCCAGAGGCGACCCCAGTACGGAAGGTGACATCAAGATGCGTCATGGGACACCTTCAGCGATTCTTTGCTTGGGTAGGAGAGCCCAAGGAAATCCATTCTGACTGCGGAAGTATTTTCTAGTCGCAGTGGTTTAGGCAGGCTGTTGCAGGCTGGGGAATAGCCCAACTACGATCGTCTCCTTCTAGACCTCAATCGCAGGGAGCGATTGAGATATTCCACTCCACCCTGAAGACCGTTTTAAGAGTGTATTGTGCAGAACAGGAAGCGGAGTGGGACGAAGCTGTCTACCCAGCTCTGTTTGCAATCAGAGATGCTATTGTTGAGTCTCTGGGATTCTCTGCATTCCAACTAGTGTTTGGGCACGAAGTAAGGAGCCCGCTATTGATGCTGAAGGAGCAGTTGACGGCGAAGAAGACGTTAGTGACAGTGGAGGAGTATGTGTAGAAATTCCGTGAACGACTGAAAACGGCAAAGGAGCTGGCTGCTGAGCACCTGAAGACAGCTCAAGAGAAGATGTCGATCTGATACGACAAGAGTGCTGCGCCAAGGAGTTCGAGGCGGGAACCACAGTGATGATATTTCGACAGGGGAGAGGTAGAGGGGACGGAATCACGCTTTGGTGGCCCATACTCGGTTGTCAGGCGAGTGGGTCCTGTTAGTTATGAGATCAGCAAGCCGAATCGCCCCCCACAAGACACAAGTATGTCATATCAACCGTTTAAAGCCATACTTCCCAGAAGAGCCGGATAGTACGAGAGTGAAGGGAAGAACACAGTCGCAAGAAGGGAAATTGGTTCTGTGTTTGGATATGAGCCAAGTATTGCCAGCTGAGGAAGGACAGTGGGCTCGTGCCGATGGTACTCGCCTGTCAAATACAAAAATTTGATACATCTAGAAGAGAGGCTATGTCATCTGGATAAAGGGCAAAGAAGAGATCTAGTGACCCTAATAAGGAAGAACAAGTCACTCTTCACAGATGTGCCCCGACGGCAGAAGAGTGTTGTGCACGAGGTGGACGTGAGCGGAGGAAACTCAATAAAGCAGAGCGCTTATCGAGTGAGTTCTGAGAAGAGGAAGATCATGCGACAAGAGGAGGAGGAGGATCTGCTAGCAAATGATCTCGCTGAGCCCAGCAACAGTGAGCTGAGCAACCTTGTGTGTTGGTTAAGAAGAGTGATGGATCATATCGCTTTTGCACCGACTATCGCAAAGTGAACGCCATAACCGTGTCGGATTCCCACCCTATGCCCCGAATAAGTGATTGCGTCAACCAAGTGGGAAACGCAAGGTTTGTCACCATGGACGACCTTCTGAAAGGGTATTATTAAATCCCTTTGTCTCCGAGTGCAAGAAGGATCTCAGCGTTTGCTACTCCAGACGGTTTGTACCAGTACAAAGTACTTTCGTTTGGCATGAAAACAATGGAGGCTATTTTCAGAGGATGATGAACGAAGTACTAAGAGCGATGGAAGGCTGCACCATGTACAAAGACGATATAGTGGTGTACGCCGATAGCTGGAACCAACACATGAATCGACTGAGGGAGTTGTTCCGACAGTCGGAAGAAGCGAACCTGACAGTTATTCAAGCCAAGAGTGAGTTCGGGAAGGCCCGATTAGAATATTTAGGTTTCGTTGTGGGCCAAGGAGAAATGACTTCAGTGGAACAGAAGGAGGTGGCAATCAAAGAATATCTGATTCCTAAAACAAGAAAGGAGTTGTTACGATATTTGGGGATGAGTGGATATTATAGAGGACTTTGTAAGAACTGCTCGAAAGTGTCACAACCTCTGACTGAATTGTAGTCTAAGAACGTTAGATGGAAATGGGGTGAGGCATGCCAGGAATCATTCGAGAAGACGAAGTTGTTAACCGAAACGCCAGTGCTGATTTCACCTGACTTTGAGTCAGGCTTCATTTTGTATGTCGATGCTAGCGATGTAGGGATCGTCTTTCTCTTAGCCCAAGAGAAAGACGGAGTTCACTGCCCGGTGGCGTTTTACTCAAGGAAATTCGAAAAGTACCAAACAGCTTACAGTACAGTGGAGAAAGAAGCTTTAACCCTGATTATGACTCAGAAACATTTCGATGTCTATGTGGGTAGAGGTACGAGACCTTAGTGTACATCGATCATAACCACTTGACGCTCGTGCATAGGATGAAGAACTCGAATCAAAGGCTGACAACATGGTCCCTACTGTTACAGGAGTACTACTCGGAAATCAGACACATCAAAGGAAGAGAGAACGTAGTAGCGGACGCCCTCTCCCGTATTTACTGACCGATATGACTGTTATTTTAAGAGGAGGGGTATGTTACGGAGCCCCAGCTATTTTTCCCCAAATCCGGCTTTAAAAGTCATGTCTTCTGACCCTGCTAATCCCCTGAGATGCAGGGAGTCTTTTGATATATGTGGCGATCAGATTGGCCACCTGATAAGGGAGAAATTTGCATTTATAGGTTTGAAGGTAAAGTGGGAAGTAACGCCCTTGATACAAACAAAATGGCGCCCCCTGCTATAAATCCGCCATTTTGTGGACGACGCCAGCCGGCTGCGGATTGGCTGGGTGAGGTCACGTGCCGCGGGCGACCAACGCCCGCCGTGACGTCACCGACTGTCCCTGGCGGTGTCGGCAGAAGTGTCGCCAGAGTTGACCTGACTGTGGACGTAAGAGGTCGTGCATCGATCAGCTCTCGAGGTTGGAGGCTCTGGGAGTCTCTTTCAGTGGATCATAGGCAGCCATCGCAGCCTGCTGTTATTCCTGGAGACCCCTGTGCTTCTGGGAAGCAAGAAGAAGCCAAGTTTATCAGACAAAAGAAGTACCAACACTTGAGGAATCGGTCGGCGACGATGCTGGAGGGCGCTGCCTGACGCTCGAGGGTCTGGATGGTGAGGCAGACAGGCCTGCTGTGACCGGGTCACCTCCACTGAGGACGTTGGAGGGAAGACACCGTTTCTAAGTTGATTAGAAACGCATTTTTTGAAGAAATGTGTGTATACAGTGACCACTGGTTGGACCAGGATTGGGATATCTGATCTTTGGGAGTGGCACGGCGATGATGCGACGGCTTCACGGCACCTGAGGTCCTGCGATACATTATTGGATCGTCAAAGACCGACTCAGAAACCGTGGGAACCTCACACAATCGAGGGACAGGCGTCTTGAGCCAGGAATGTTGAAGGTAGATAAATTTTACCCACCCATTACCCTGTTGTTGATTAGCCTAGTTATGCCACGATATTTATATATGTATGCTTTAGTATAACATTGGTGCATTAGTATTAGGATAGGCTGCAGGGAAGCTTGTGTTCACGACTGTTGAAGAGGACAGCGGGTGTGTGTGGACGACGCAGCAGTTTGAGAGGCAGTGGCTGACGTGGACAAAGCGGCCCCCCCATGTAAGAGGGTATGAGACCCCCTTTTAAATATGCCCAGCTGATGGAGTTGCTGGAGGTCCCAAGAGAAGAGTTGCCGACGATCTCCAGATCATTTATTCCTTATATCCAATCCTGTATCATGTTTACTTGTATATGTGATCATGTATCTTATGTTAGTAAATATTACATATTTTACTAATGTGTTTAAGTGTGCCTCCATATTATCTCTATAAGCATGCACGAGGGATATTATAGCCCCACCTAGGGAAGAGTGAGTTTTACAAAGAAGTTTCTTAGTGGGTGGTGGGTGGTAGAACAACACAGACCTTTATGAAGGTGTACATACTGGCACTGTACTGGCAGTCCTGTGTCAATGCTGTAAGAGTAGCAACACATTGGCAACAGGCTACATAGTGTATACCCACTGAACTGCTCTGCTGGGGTGCAGGGATATTAACCCCCCAGCTGGCGACCTTGTTATAGACAGAGAAATGCAGGTGGGAAAGGAATTCCTGCAACCTTTTGATTTGGCAGGCAAGATTCAGAGGAAGTGTTGTTTAAGTTAAGCCTGAGTCTTTCTTCACTCTTCCGTGGGTCAAGGCCAGAACTGATATTAGCAGTTTCCCTGTTATTGACTGCAGGGCCCTCAGGGTGAATCAGTGGCACCCCGGTGGCGGGAGCAAAGCCCTGCGGTGGTGGGCATTACGTGGTCCTTTACTGTGGGACCAAGTGAGTCAAAGAGACTGAGTACTCTGTCTCCTGAGCCCCTAGCAGCCCCCTTACTAGCAGAGCTGCAGCTCACCCCTCTCCTCCCATAACAGTGTGTGTGTGTGTGTGTGTACTTACCTAGTTTTACTTACCAAGTTGTGCTTGCGATGGTTGAACTCTGGTTCTTTGGTCCCGCCTCTCAACTGTCAATCAACTGGTGTACAGGTTCCTGAGCCTACTGGGCTCTATCATATCTTCACTTGAAACTGTGAATGGAGTCAACCTCCACCACAACACTTTCTAATGCATTCCATTTGTCTACTACTCTTACAGTGAAATGTTGTTTTCTAATGTCTCTATGGCTCATTTGAGCACTCAATTTCCACTAGAGTCTCCTAGTGTGTATGCTCTAACCTAACCTAACCTACTGGGCTCTATCATATCTACATTGGAAACTGTGTATGGAGTCAGCCTCCACCACATCACTTCTTAATGCATTCCACCTGTTAACTACTCTGACACTGAAAAAGTTCTTTCTAACGTCCCTACGGCTCATTTGGGTACTCAGTTTCCACCAGTGTCCCGTTGTTCGCGTACCACCAGTGTTAAACTGTTTATTCTTGTCAACCCTGTCAACTCCCTGAGGATTTTGTTGGTAGTGATCATGTTTTCCCCTTACTCTTCTGTCTTCCAGTGTCGTGAGGTGCATTTCCCGCAGCCTTTCCTCGTAACTCATGCCTCTTAGTTCTGGGACTAGTCTAGTGGCATATCTCTGAACCTTTTCCAGCTTCGTCTTGTGGTTGACAAGGTACAGGCTCCATGCTGGGGCCGCATACTCCAGGACTGGTCTTACATATGTAGTATACAAGATTCTGAATGATTCCTTAAACAGGTTCCTGAAGGCTGTTTTGATGTTAACCAGCCTCGTGTATGTCACAGACGTAATCCTTTTTATGTGGGCTTCAGGAGACAGGTTTGGTGTGATATCAATTCCTAGATCTTTCTTTCTGTCCGTTTCATGAAGTACTTCATCTCCTATTCTGTATCCTGTGTCTGGCCTCCTTGTGTGTGTGTGTGTGTGTGTGTGTGTGTGTGTGTGTGTGTGTGTGTGTGTGTGTGTGTGTGTGTGTGTGTGTGTGTGTGTGTGTGTGTGTGCTCACTAATTTGTACTCGCCTATTTGTGCCTGCAGGATCAAGATCAAGCTCTTGGTCCCCTCTTTTCTATCCGGTAGTTGTCTGATACAATGACTCCTGGCCTATTTCCCAATCATACCTGCTATTGAAGTTATGAATGGAGTTAACCTCTACAATCAGTTCCTTTAGGTCATTCCATTTCCTTACTGCCCTTATGCTAAAAGAAAACTTTCTAACATCTCTATGACACTTCCGAGTCTCAAGCTTCCATCCGAATCCCCCTTGTTCAATTGCTATTCATTGTAAACATTTCTTCTGTTACACTTTGTTAATTCTTGTAAGTATTTTATTTATTTATATTTAACTATTTATATTCAAGGAGATACATTGGGATTGTGAGGACACATAGCATAGTAATTACATTCTTGTAAAGTCACTAGTACACGCAGCGTTTCGGGCAGGTCCATAATCGAAGACAATTTAAAGTAGGTAAATACTAGCAAAATTTATAAAAATGATAACAGTTACATAGCAAGAAAAAATAAAAGATGAGGGAAAATTGTAGGTATATTAAAGCACACAGGTAGCTCAGATTGATTACAATGACAGCTTGAATGGTAGTTTAAAAAAAATTAGTAGGCACAATACAGCATATGGCTAGCGCATAAAAGAAGACAGCAATGAACACAATGATAAAGTTGTTTGGATTAAGTACACAAAGATTGGGAGATTGGGTAACACTAAATACAGAGCAAATGTAACGCTCAGTGTAGGAAACTACGAAGAGGAAATTAGGTACTTTTTGTTTTTGTTTTTGAATGAGGCAAAAGTTTGACAGGTTTTCAATTCACTAGGGAGTGAGTTCCACAGACTAGGTTCCTTTATTTGCATAGAGTGTTTACACAGATTAAGTTTGACCCTGGGGATATCAAAGAGATATTTATTTCTGGTGTGGTGATAATGGGTCCTATTACATCTGTCCAGGGAGAGTTTCA